CTCTATCTGACCGTCTCATATATATAATAAGACTGGTTATTAACAAGAGAGCAATTAATCACTCTCTTTGCTGCAGTATTCAGAAACCTCTACATATTTTTAACTCTCTTATCTCTTCTGCTCAGAGCCCATACACACACAATCTTCTTGATTTTATAAATGCAGTACAATGCACCCAACAATGCCATACACACACCACACCACACCATCACTACCATATATATATATATATATATCAACATCTATACATACTTCAAATCTACTTCTTCACATATCTTTCCTGCTTTGGATTTGCACCTACCTTCTCAAGGTTTGTTACATTATGCTCTTAATATGTCTCTACATATGTATTTTTTTTGTAACACTCATGCATTACACATGACTATATAAATAGATTAAAATCTAATGATTATGTATTTTTTTTTGTAACACTCATACATTACACATGACTATATAAATAGATTAAAATCTAATGATATTGGTTTTCTCGATTGGGAGACAAGCTAAATTTACTTTTCTTGTGTTAACACGATTAGTTCATTCATGAACGTGTTCGCCTCGGTTAATTTTTTAGTTCCAAACATGTATAAAGAGAAAAAAAAAAAAAATAGTTGTTAGCAAACGAGCTGAGCTCAGCTCATTTAAGTAAACGAATGAATTGATCTAGAGCTTTAACGAGTCTATACAACTCGGTCTGAATAGCAACTCTAATTACTCTCTTGTCTTGTTTCCCTTAATTATTCAGCAGGACTAATTAATAAATGGAGGTTGATCATCACACAAGGCATGGTTCCCCTAACAAAGCGGGAGGTACAACCAAGTCATTCCCCTGCCTCTACTGCTCTAGAAAGTTCCACAGCTCGCAAGCGCTGGGCGGGCACCAAAACGCCCACCGGAAAGAACGAACGGCGGCTGGGAAAGGCCAAAGGGCATTTTCGTCTTCCTCTTCATGCGATTACATGACTCTAACGGCTCCTCCGCCTCTGAACCTCACTCTAAACTACCCTTTCGGCTTTGTGGGCCCATCGGCCTATGTAGGAGCCTATCAGGGCCCTATGATGATAAATGGGTTCGGGCCGAATGGTGGGCCCGTGTTCGAAAATTTTGTGGGGTATGAGAAGGAAAATGAGAATGATTATGATGATAATGATGAGCGTGGCCATGGGGATTGTGGGAGACAGAGTCTTGATTTGTCTCTACATTTGTAGAAGAGTTTTTTTTGGGGAACTCTCTTTGTTAGTTGAAGGTTTCTTTTTCTTTATTCTTCGATTATATGCATTTAGAAAACGAGTTTAAATGAGATGAGAGATAGTCTTTGCCTATAGGCAAGGATGATGAAGAGCTTTGATGTTGCTTCAGAAATAATGATATAGCCCATTTTAATGAATTTATTTACTTATTTTGGGAATATTGTTTGGTTTAGATATTTACTAGTACAGTACCCGTGCAATGCACGGGGTTTTATTATTTTCGTCCTATTTAAAAGGCAATTTTGTATTTAAATTCAAATTATATAATAAAGTATCGATCATTGATTATAATTAAACTTAACAAATAATTATTATAAGATACGGGTAATGATTTATATTAATCATATTGAGCTTGTAAAATAAGAATGTTTTTGAAAAATGTTGGCTTCAAAAAATTCATATCGGCCCAATTTACAATGTTGGCTTCGAAAGTTCATATCGGCCCAAACAAAACAGAAAAAATAATTCAGTGATCCAGATTAGTCAACGGAAATCGACAGTTTAGATTACACTGAACATAGTATAAATAGTGAAATTATCGGACCAAGAACTTCATTTCTTCTTTCATTTTTTGCCGCTTCCAGCTTCTTCTTTCGTCTTTTTTCATTGATCTTCCAACTTTTCCGGTCTAACACTGAGGGCCTTATAAATACATATTCTCTTTTAGTTTTCATTTAATCGATACTTTAAATTAATTTTAGGTGTTTTGCACGAAACAAAATATGGATTGTAATTTGAGGGTTTTTATTTTCGATTTTTATAGTTTTATATTCGAATTTTTTGGTTTTTACAATTAATCAAAAGAATCCTTCTAATTTGAGTGTGCGCCGGTAGATATTGTTAATTTTAATTGTTTCGCCTGAAAAAAAAATGTGGAATTTTTAATTTTAAGGTTTTTATGTTCAATTTTTGTACTTTTATGTTCGAATTTTTTTGGGTGTTTACGATTAGTCAAAAGAACTCTTAGAATTTGAGTATGTGTCGGTAGATTTGTTATTTTTTGATCGGCATAATTATTTTGTTACACAAATTTTTTTGACATTCAAGTGATATTTTTCTTTTAAAACTCAACTCGGCTGAAAACATACAAATCTGACATTTAATTATGTGATATCATTGATTTTGATGAATTGCACACAATTATTAGGGGTTATGAACTTGCAAGTTTTTTTTCCCAAATTAATGAATGTTGATAGCAATTAATTTTAAAAAGAATTGGTATTGAAATAAAACTCAAATTTTTAAAAACATTATTTGTACCAAAATTGAACAATTTGGTTACCAAAATTAAGTATCCGTGATTGAAGGCATATTTAAATGTTTTCATTTAATAAATAAAAAATAAAACAAAACTTGCCCAAAATGGTATGCAATTAATGTTGCCAAATTTTTCTGCTTACTATTTTTTGTAAATAGTAATTCTTATTATATATATAGATTATAATTTCCTATGGAATTTCAACAATCACAACAATAATTATTAGCTAGTCTACCCAACTGTGAGTTTGTTTTATTTTCTCGAAAAATATATATTTATACCATGGAATGTCACTTTGGCTTATATTGTATTTTGAACTATTACACTCATATATTATTAGGCAGCTTAATAGGAAATTATATATATTTATTGGAAGAGTATAAATGCATATATTATTAGGTAGCCTAATAGGAAATCTACCAAAAGAGTATATATAATTATATATTGAAAAAATATAATTGTCTAATCATTTAAAGATTTAACAGCTAGAAGATCACCGAAAGACCATGCGGTTTTCGACTTAAATTTTCATTGGTAACTCTAGAATTAGTAAAACTACCATTATACAAACATAATGGTCACATACTCAAACAATTTTAACATACATAACTACTTTCAAACTAAAATTTCATACTTTAATAAACTTCATAAATGTAGCTATGTAAAAAACTTATATATCCACGACTTGAAACACGTATCGGTTGAATTCATAGAAGAATCTGTGATTCTTAACTGTCACATGTGTTAATCATAAACTGCTATATATTACCTATGGTTTCATGTTAATAATTATATTCTAATTATTGAAAAAAAAAAAATACCAACGGCCTAACAAATAATTAGGCAATGTGTTAAAAGTTAAAACAACTGCTCCTGCAACTGCTAGTCAAACACAACCACTTGAGAGAAGGACTAACAAAATAAAATTGGCCCGTAACTTTTGCTAGTCAAATAATAAAATACCTAACATATATCACCCTTGAATTGACCATAATTAAGCATATGAAATTATGATGTCTTATGCCTGAAATTGGGCACATAACCATTCACCAATACATATATGTTCAGGCTCGACTATCATAACCCAAAATATTACAACATAATATAATTATAGCCAATGGGGAAATGTTTTTATGCAGAAAAACCTGTTTTTCCCCTAATTATTTTGTTTACCAGGTTAGGTCCAACTTAACTACTATTACTTAATTCTTACATCGTGTTGAGATTAAATACTAAAAAAGAAAAATAAACATTAATTTAAAACTGAAAGTTGTTGAGATTAAATTATATGAAAGTTGATTGTTGAGTTTAATTTGTGTTTAGTCAGCCTAGATTATCCTAGGTGTTTAAAACTGAAATAACTGAATGAAGTATAAAGTTGGATGTTCTATTTAATACGTATTTATTAGTCAGCACAGATAAGTTATCAGGTGTGTGCAAATTTTTAGTATTAAAATTGAGATTACGACTGATACAATTTATTTATTTTTCATGTTACTGCGGCTATTGATTTTTATTTACAAATTTTTGGTTATTTTAGATTATCCAATTAAATTAATCGAACCATTTGAATTTATATTAAAAATTTATTATATATATGTATATATTAATATTTTTAGTGATATAAATAAAAAAATAGTAAAAATTAAATGTCTATTTATATCATAAATTATAATATATTTTTTCGTTACTTCAGTTCGATCTTAAGTTCGAATTTGAATAAAATTTCAGTAAGTCCGATTTTAATAAATTATGAGTTCGATTATTTCAGTTTTATGAGTTAACTGAACCCTAGGATGCAAACACTTAATTAACCCTTAACAAAATTTCACCAAACTATTTTCTTAATGACTAAAAATTTTATTTTATTTTTTTCAATCAGATCGGATATTAAAATTACCAAAAAGAGCAAAATCAATTAAACACTAAGTGATTGTTTATGATTTCAACAAAAAAAAAAACCAATCAAAACTCAAATTTAACTAAACTTTAACACAACCTCACTATCCTCAATATTATCAATATAATTAAATAATATAACCAATCATTCTTATACATCACATCAACTTTAATTTACTATTCATCCACTCACATAATTTTAACTACCTAACACTTCTAATCATTTTTCTCCTACTTTACATCAAAACAACTTTAATTATTTTATTTAAATATTATTTTAATATATCCACTAACAACTAATCGTACCACTTTTTTCAAAACTAACTATAACTAAAAAACAAACCAAATAAAAACTAGTTGAATCCATAAACAATCACCCCTAAACGAGTCACGCAGAGCAATCTGGCTTGGGCTCAACCCCAAACAAATGAAAATGGGAATAACCGAATTATCTAACCCAACCATGGTTAACTCAGTCAAGTCTAATGAAGTTAGGCAAAACCATTTTGAACGTGGACCTTTCTCGCTACCCACTTTCCTCCATTCCGTTATAAATAGAGTTTGCGCCCTTTCTGCTAACGTACAACCTTCCCCTGCCTTCAACTGCGCGCACACACAAAGGAGGCAAAATTCGAAATTCTAGTGAGAGAAAGAAAGCTCGGTTAGCGTCAATGGCGGTCTATCTCAGAGTCCTCGCTCTTCCCGCACTCGTGGCCTTGCTGCTGTTCGCAAATGCTGTGGCCGTGAGAGAAAGGTATTTTCACAGCGATTCTACTGCGTGTTTGTGTGTGCGTTTTTTTCAGAAATTGATTTGCTTAGTATGAAGCTGAATTTTCAGACTTGAATTTGTGGAAAAAAAAAACTGTAATTTATGCTGTTTTTTGTTCCTTTGCTCTGTTTTTCGATTCCGATTTTCAGTTTTGGAATAATTTGATTTGATCGCAGTGACTTAATTTTTTACTTCTGATTTGGTGTTTTTTTACTGCTCCGGTGGAAGTAGGCAGATGAAAAGCTTGAGAAGCTCAACAATGGCGAATAGGTTAGTTACATTCATTGGTACTGAATAGTGATCACCTGTTTTCAGCGCCAATGACTAGTTGTTTTCATTATTTATAACGTAAAATAAAAATAAAATAAAATAAAATAAAATAAAAACGAGTGACTAATTTCGATCACTCTTGGTGTTATAATTTACAGGCTAAATAAAGATCCAGAAGCTGTAGCTGCAGCAGTTCATAAGTAAGTCCATTTCTTTTTGTTGTTCTTCTTCATTTAATCTGTGAAGTTGAAAGATGTTAATGTTAATTCACTTTAATTCACTTCCACATTCGTTATTGTAATGTTCGGCTATTTTGTTGCTTTGTAGCGTTCAAATCATGAGTTAAAACTCACATGATCCATGCTTCAAATGCATGTTCTATATTTACTACCTACCCAAAAATCTTGCAATAATTCAGAATTTGTGGAATGTGTTTTGTTAACTTACAAATGGAGTATTACAAGTCTTACTAGTAATATTTCCTCAAGTATTTTTCTCAATCTGGTTAAATATGACAGACTTAACGATTAGACAATTATACTTTTTCATATACGTAACAAAAGTATGAAATTTCATGCACGTAACATTTAGGCCAATTTTAGATGTCTTTTTCCCATGTTTGAATGCTTCCTTTATTTCTTCATTCATGATGCTAG